ACATTGTGTATGAAGATGACAGTAAAATTTGTATTAAAAGAGAAAAGATAGATTTCATGAACCGAAATGAAAATGATCGTTCTTGTGACACATAAATTAACGAAACGAGATGAAAATGATCGTTCTTGTGACACATGAATTAACGAAACGAGATGAAAATAATCGTTCTTGTGACACATATTCAGGAAATAGATTTGGTTTTGGTTGTTGTTCAGCAGAAACCTACACAATGGGTTATCTGTGCTCTGCCCACCACGGGTATCGAAACCTGATCTTATAACATCATAAGCCTGCAGACTTACCTTTGAGTTACTGGGGAGAGAGGGGCAGAAAATGGGAATTTATATGGGATAGTTTTTCAAGTCTATTCAGGATATTGGAACTGACATTGAAGATTTTCCTCAGTTCCTTGTCTGACTAAAATCAGTATATTCCTGGTGATTATATACACAATTTTAGTCACTCTCACTTTCTAATGTAAAACAGCTACGTTTTTATGTTGAAAATATGTTGTGATTCCAGTTAATTTATTCCTAAATTTTACTTAAAAGTAATTTTCTAAATTGTAAACAAAGACATTCTAAAGGAACATACAAGTGGATTGTTTGTTTTAAACGCAAAGTTGCACAATCAGTATTTTCACTGTACCAATCGCAGAGATCAAACCCTGAACTTTAGCGTTATAAGTGCAGGAGCTCACTGCTGAGTCACCAGGGGCGATACGTGTAGATCAAGTAGAAACAGAAAATATTAATATATTCGTAACTTATTTCCTACCATATTGTAGCTATGTTCCCTTGTTCAGGCAACAGGCGGTTCAAATGTATTTCAAACAGAAGTTGTATAAACGATGTGAAATAATGTACAGAAAATATTTTTGTACTTTTTTCATTAGCTGAATACATGGGGGTACAGTTGTTATATCAGTAAATATTTCCGTATATATAAAATATGCGTCTCGTCAATTGACGTATTGAAATGTCATCTGTAAAATAAATATTTTTAAAAGTTCAGTGTCATAACGTATGTTTGTGTATTACTTATAATTTACTTGTATGAACAAAGTCGAAGTGATAATACCCAACATGTGTTATTCATAATCTTCGAATAAAGGGGTCGGTTACAAATTGAGGAATGTATTTTAAAATGCATGAAACTGTTCTGGGAAGTTCATGAACTGAATTTTTCCATATGTACCTGACATCATAATAGCAGATAAGCGAGGTTGTAAAAATCCTCTATAAATTTGTTAGTTTGTTTCAAAATTTTGCATTGTCATCCCTAATTTTGAACTGATAGACTAAAAGAAAGGCAAGTGTCAACAGCACCCACAGGCACCTCTTGGGCTATTCATGTATGATCGAATAGTGGGATTTGACTGAGAGTCTTATAGCGTACCCATGGTTCCAAAATGTTGAGCGCAAAAAATCAGGATGATGTATGTATATATATATAGAGAGAGAGAAAGAAAGAAAAATGTACAGTAGGTTAGTCAGTAGCATTGGGACAGTATACCAAGGTTATAACCCCACTGGCCCATGCGTTACCGGGATTTTGCTCGGATTGCCTCTGGTCGTGAACCACGAATCTTTGGATATATAAATTGGGCAAGTTAACCACTAGTCACGCCTTGCTTTCTTCATAAATATCTTAATAGAGTTTTAAACTTACATGTTCTTAGTTCCATGAAATATACGTTTTAAAAATGGAGTTCGAAACCAACTTATCATTTTCATGTGACTCACTGGTAAGTAACCGTGCTGGGTGTGTATCCGTGGGCCCAGCGTTCGTGTCCCGTTACTGCAACAACAATAAGAATCATGGTCCTTTCTTTGAGGCCTAGGGAGGGTCATCAGGATGACGGTCATATCTGACTATTCGGTCAAACAAGAGCATCCAAAGACTTGGTGATACTATTGAGTATCTGTCTTCCGCCCCCGAGAAACCGGGTTTCGATACCTGTGGTGGGCAGAGAACAGATGACCCTTTTTTGTAGCTTTGTGCTTAACTACAAACAAAAACTGTCTTCCCTTCAGTTTATCAGTTCAAAATTAGGGACGACTAGCGCAGATAGCCCTTGAGTAGCCTTGAGGAAATATCCGGAAACAAAAAATTGTTTTTCAGATATATTGTATAAAGTTGTACAAGCAATAAAAATCACAACATCTCTCGTTGCTAAATATTAGGTCCTTACCATTTTCCTATGCAGTGGCACCACAAACACCATCTGGATATAATATGAACGTCTGCTGTTAGAAGTAAAAATTCGAAGTTGATTTGAAGCTGCCCAGAAAACGTGAGATCATTATGTTTGTTTGTTATTAAGCACAAAACTACACAATAGGCTATATTTGGGCTATGCACATCGCGGGTATCGAAACCTTATGTTTAGCGTTATAAGCTTTCAAACTTGCCGCTGTGCCACCGGGAGACACGACTATTAAGAAATCCTTTGTTTCGTTTATTAAGCCAGCCTGTATATCTGTTTTTGTATAATTCATATTGTGTAGACAATGGTGTTGTAATCTCTGCATTAGTTCTTATGCTAAAACATATTAACACATGACCAGCTGTTTAGGGCGCTTGACTCGCAATCTTCGGGTTCGAATCCCCGTCCTACTGAACATACTCGCCCCTTTTAGCCGTGGGGGCGTTATGATGTGACGTCAATACCATTCTTCGTTGGTAAAAGAGTAACCCAAGAGTTGGCGGTGAATGGTATTTCTGCTAAATTAGGGACGGCTAGCGCAGATAGCAATCATGTAGCTGTGCGCGAAAATTCAAAACAAACAAACCATAATAGCACGTTGGTGACTTGATAATTAACTTTAATCAGTGTCAGTAAGTTA